AACCTTTTCTTATATGCAGGGTGAACTCAGTCAAGGTGACAGTCTAGCTTTTACTTTAGCAATGGTTACATCAACTGCTGGACTTACAGGTCACCTGTCTGCTGAATTTCAAAATATGACTGTCACCTTTGATAGGAGAAAGATCAGCCCAATACCTCAAGAAAATCACAAGACAGTTCATTAAATGCAGTGGTGCTAAGGGGAAAAAAAAGTGCAGATATAGTCCACTGTAACCAGTTAGATTAAATTTAGGTTTTAATCCACCACAGAAGGGATTTTATATCTGAGTGCACTTGGAACCATAAGGCTTGAGCTTTTTCAAGGTGGATATTTCAGTGTTTTGTACATGCTAGAAAGTTTGTTTTTTAGATGTTGTGACTACATAAGTTTTTTGTTTTTTTTTTTGTTTAAGTTTTTTTTTTTTTACTTGGTGGTTCCACCAGTAATACACTTCCTGTTTTGAGAATGACAGCACTTACTGTAGCAGGACAATAGAAACAGGATAGGACTACAGGACTCCACCGCTCTGCTATTATCCATCACTTATAGGAGCATGATTGTGCAGTCCTCGTAGATAGTTGGTGGAAAACACAGAAGGTTATCATCTCACAAACATTCTGGCATTACCAACAGGTATTTTTGATAGATCAAATGTTTTATTTAACAGACCAAAAAGGAATAAATAAGACATTCATTTTTAAGGTTTGCATACACTGTAAAGTGATACCAAATTATCACTTAATTAATTTACATTGTCCATTCTATTTCTGTATGTAGATGATGGCAGAAATGTAAGAGCAGTTTTTTGTAAAGGAGAGCTCTTACCCCCTCTTCCTGTAGCCACCAGTTATGTTAATGCACCTCTTTAGTTTTCTTCTTTGAGTGACAGCGTCATTATTTCACCACTTTCTGCAGTGGGATGACCCAGGCTGCACAAACTCCTGGTCTGTCCTGCCCATCAGTGACTGTAAAACCTGAATGACAGCCAGGAGACTCCCATTCTGTCCTCCTCATTAATTAATGCAAAAGCTGATTGACAACCAGTTGACTCCAATTCTTTCTTACCCATCAATGACTGCAAAAGCTGATTGACAGCCAGAAGACTATTCTTTCCCATCCATCAATGACTGCAAAATCTGATTGACAGCCAGGAAACTCCCCGTTTTTCCCACCCATCAAAGACTGCAAAAGCCAAATGACAGCTGGGAGATTCCTAGTTTGTCTTGCCCATCAAAGACTGCAAAACCTTATTGACAGCCAGGTGACTCCTGTTCTGTCCCACCCCTCAATGTCTCCAAAATCTCAATGACAGCTGGGAGACTCTTGGTTTGTCCCGCACATCAATGACTGCTAAATTTTATTGACAGCCAGGAGAGATCCGCTCTGTCGCACACATCAATGACTGCAAAAGCTGATTGACAGTCAGGATATTGCTTATCTATCACACACAACCATGCCTGCCTGAATAGATTGGCAGGTTATGCAGATGCAAAAAGATGTGGGGGTAGAGCCTGCTTTATCCCTCCTCTTAGCATCTCTGCACTTTTCAAAGACAAGTGATGACATTTCACTAGACAGTTACAAGCGAGATAAACAAAAACAACTTTTTTTTTATTGGGGAAGAGAAAGGGAAGTATTGGGGGGGGGGGGGGGGATTTCAGCTTTAACAAGTGTTTGTCGCACCTGGGGATATGACTTTTATTAGCATATGTCCGCCAAATGGAACATCATATATCAATAAAACTTTAGCTATCTTCTATCCTCAAGAATTAAACAAAATCTTGCCCAAATAATTTGGGTAAAGACACATACTTTTATTGTATTACAAGCTGTATACAAATTCACTCAGGGTTATGTACTAACAAGTAATTTTGCTGTTTAGAGTCCCTTTAACATTTAAAACGTGTTATTCTTGTTTAAATTTCCATTTCTTAGATTTTCTTCCTATTTCATATTTGTGCACTTATGGAAGCAATCCCAGGTGTGTAACAAAAGATATTTGTGCGTAGACACACAGATCCCATAGTAAGCATTTATCTGCTTAATTCATTGAATAATGTGCCAAATCTACTCTTAGCAGTATCACTAAATGAATCAGACGGCGTTATATTATTGGATAAAGAAACACGGTTTACATAATGCATATTATTCACTAAAGCTGTTACTTTTTTGCATTTCATAGGGCTGTTTTTTTCCCCTTGCACAATAAACTAATGTTTTCCTGAATGTGATGCTAAAAAACTAATAAAGATGCAGTGATAATTGAAATTTGTAAAAGTGTTTCCTACTTGTTAGTCAACTGAAGCTCACAATGCAGGTTCTGTCATAATAGTTTATTTTATAATATTTCAATTTCAGCCCTATTATGCGTATGTTGCTGACAATATTTGGTTAATGATCGTTAATGATACTGAATTATTGTGCTTTTGATCCGATTAGAACACTGACACAAGATAGCTACACTGTGTGGATGCCAGAAAAATGTCTCATTCAAATCTAATAGTCTAATGCACAAGTTGGGTCAGCTTAAAGTGTATCTTTGCAAAAAAAACAAAAGCCTGTTCCTGCAATAGTCAAATGTTATACTGCCAAAATGTAGTTACAAGTGAAGGTTGGGCTTTCAACAGATCTTATTGCATATTGGTACATGTTTTATTCTATTTATGTTCAGAGCTAGGGAAATGTACATTGCTATCCAGCAGTTGAAACCATGGGCTGATTTATATCCATTTTTTTGGGCTATCTGTAAAAAGGGAATTTTACTCCAAACCAGCCCCCCGCATGTTCATTTTTTAATCCCCCTTACTTGTTATGATATCTCATCTTCGATGCATATACTCACCTGCCCAGTGGGTCCTGCATTGTCCTGCTGCGATCTGTTGTTCAGGTGTTACAGCTCAGGCCCTGCATCTCCATCTTAGTCCTTCATGATTGTGAACATCTTCTGCATTCAGGCATTGGTATTTGTTGTGGAGGGCGAAGAGTACAGGGACATAGTCACCCAGGGGAGTTAAGGTCTGCTTTATTTGCTTTACAAAAAAGAAAAAAACCTGTTATTTACAGAACTCAGCTCATAAAGTTCAATTCTACACATGCACACTGAATGGGTAAAGGGGACTCATCTTTCCTCCATTTCTCTATCTGCTCTGTTTAAAGAGGGGTGTGTGGTGTCTTATTTAAAGGCAGATAGTCAGAAAGTAAACAGCTTCTGATGTACTCTTTCTGTTTTGTACTACCAGTGTCACCTAGAGAGAACCCTGTATTAAATGCTTATTTGTTTAAAAATAAAACAAATATATATATACTTTTCTTTTTTTACATATACAGGTGAAACTCAAAAAATTAGAATATCGTGCAAAAGTTTATTTATTTCAGTAATGCAACTTAAAAGGTGAAACTAATATATGAGATAATCTCATTACATGCAAAGCAAGATGGTTCAAGCCGTGATTTGTCATAATTGTGATGATTATGGCTTACAGCTCATGAAAACCCCAAATCCACAATCTCAGAAAATTAGAATATTGTGAAAAGGTGCAATATTCTAGGCTCAAAGTGTCCCACTCTAATCAGCTAATTAAGCCATAACACCTGCAAAGGGATCCTGAGCATTTAAATGGTCTCTCAGTCTGGTTCAGTGTGAATCACAATCATGGGAAAGACTACTGACCTGACAGTTGTGCAGAAAACCATCATTGACACCCTCTGTAAGGAGGGAAAGCCTCAAAAGGTAATTGCAAAAGAAGTTGGATGTTCCCAAAGTGCTGTATCAAAGCACATTAATAGAAAGTTATGTGGAAGGGAAAAGTGTGGAAGAAAAAGGTGCATAAGCAGCAGGGATGACCGCAGCCTGGAAAGGATTGTCAGGAGAAGGCTATACAAAAGTGTTGGGGACTTTCACAAGGAGTGGACTGAGGCTGGAGTCAGTGCATCAAGAGCCACCACACACAGACGGATCCTGGACATGGGCTTCCTCTTGTCCAGTCGCTCCTGAACAACAAACAACGTCAGAAGTGTCTTACCTGGGCTAAAGAAAAACAGACCTGGTCTGTTGCTCAGTGGTCCAAAGTCCTCTTTTCTAATGAGAACAACTTTTGTATCTCATTTGGAAACCAAGAACCCAGAGTATGAAGGAAGAATGGAGAGGCACACACTGCAAGATGCTTGAAGTCCAGTGTGAAGTTTCCACAGTCTTTGTTGATTTGGGGAGCCATGTCATCTGCTGGTGTAGGTCCACTGTGCTTCATTAAGTCCAGGGTCAACACAGCCGTCTAACAGGAGATTTTTGGAGCACTTCATGCTTCCTTCCGCAGACGAGCTTTATGGGGATGCTGACTTCATTTTATAGCAGGATTTGGCACCTGCTCACACTGCCAAAAGCACCAGAACTGTGCTTGACTGGCCAGCAAACTTGCCTGACCTGAACCCCATACAGAATCTATGGGGCATTGCCAAGAGAAAGATGAGAGACATGAGACCGAACAATGCACAAGAGCTAAAGGCCGCTATTGAAGCATCCTGGTCTTCCATAACACCTCAGCAGTGCCACAGGCTTATAGCTTCCATGCCACAATGCATTGAGGCAGTAATTGCTGCAAAAGAGGCCCAAACCAAGTACTGAGCACATATGCATGCTTATACTTTTCAGAGGTCTGATATTGTTCTATGTACAATCCTTGTTTTATTGATTGCATGTAATTCTAATTTTCTCAGATTGTGGATTTGGGGTTTTCATGAGCTGTAAGCTATAATCATCACAATTATGACAAATCACGGCTTGAACTATCTTGCTTTGCATGTAATGAGTCTATTTCATATATTAGTTTTCACCTTTTAAGTTGCATTACTGAAATAACTGAACTTTTGCACGATATTCTAATTTTTTGAGTTTCACCTGTATACATTATATTGCCAAAAGTATTGGGACACCCTCCAAATCATTAGGTCAAGTGTTTCCATCACCTCCATGGCCTAAGGTGAATAAAAGCAAGCACCTAGAC